ATGAAATGCTCGAAAAATCGGCAAGCGGGAGCAGGACCACGTTTTGTTGTCAGTTTTATAGCATGACAAAATTTCTCACTCCATAGGCGTTTTTGTTTCAGTGTCATGCACTTCTTCGTCATTCCACGTCTTCGATACTGGTCCCATAGGAACAAATACACAAACATAAACTGAACAATTGGTGCATGGTGCCAAATCAAAGCGTTTTTAGAATAAAGTCTATCGGCTATTGGGATAAGCCTGAGAAAAACAATAATTTTCGCCATCCGTTTATCCCGTTCGCGGTGCATTTGAAAACTAGGTGCTTGTGAAATGCGGGAAAACCAGCTAAGTTATCAGTCAAATAAACGCCAATAAAGGGGGAAAAATTGAAGCGTGCGAGTGATCGTGCACCAGGCGCCCACTCTCGCGTCCTCCCGCGCGCATGCTCCGAGACAGCTGACTCTCGTCAACTTTGGGCCGTCAGCTGGCGTCAGTAGCACACTCAGAAGGCGTTGACGGAGGTGTCAGGACGATGGGGATAAGGGGAGAACACATAAAGAACAGCAGAATCTGAGGTGGGCATGCTGTTTTATTCGTTTGATGACCTCCAGTCCCTTCTATCTCGGGCCATTTCGCACCGCTACCATTAATTAGGGTTTATTTGCTGGCCCGCCGAAGGGTGTTTAATTTCACGTCATGACGAGATAATCTGGTCGCACACTTGACCTACGCCATTGTTGCTGTCCTGCGCCATCTCCTACCTCTGTCCCCGGTCGAGTGGTGCCCCCAATAATGACAGTAGGTCCGAGGTTCGGCATCAGGGATGGGGAGCTACTTTCGATCGTTCATTACATATCTGCATACAAACTTAAGGGTGCGCATTGTTTTGTAAAACGACCGCTATTACTGACGAAAATTTTGCAAATGAACCTTGCGTACCTAAGGCGAACATGCTTTTGTCATACGAACTTTATCATTGACGAACACTAGCAAACAATTACGTCCCACCTTTTCCATTCAAGCTTTTTCGCGCACGAGAATTTTCACTATGAAGTTTCCCAAAAAATGTTTTACCATACGAACTTTGCCGTATACTACCTTTTTACCTGGCAATTGTTTGATATTATGAACTTTTCACCGCATCTGACGAACTTAAGCTTAACTTGTTTTACCAACTATTGCCACGCAGACTTTTATATATTTTTTGTCCGTAACACCATTGAGCAAGATCATCACTGCCTGACGCTGTAGGCACTCCAGTCGTCAACCGGAAAGTTACCGGAGTCACATTTCCAGAAACATGGCTTCAAAACAGCGTTCTTTCGACTAAGCGTTTGCAGATTGGACAATGAAAAGTAAATAAGCGATGATCCAGCTTATTTTGGCCAGCATGCGTTCAAATTGTCAATGCACTTTCCAATACTCGCATTGGAATTATCGCAAAGACGAACTACTCCCGCTGACTCAGGAGTTTTATGTGGTAAATAGTTGACGTTAGAGACAAAAACCGTCGTTCGAGACGTTCCAACAAGATCCAAGCAAATAAGCGGCTTTCGAAACTGACGAATTAACACTATCAAGCAAACATTACTCAAAGTAATAAGTACTGGTTGTTTCGAGACATTGTTCATGGTTACCAGCGGCCGTATCCGCTACTTCCCATCGTCGAACCTTCCACAGTGTAAATTTATGTTTGCTTGATAACATCATTTACCCAGTAGCTCCTGTTACATTAAAGGTCAGCTATTTATAATATACAAACTCAAAACACCCAAAGGCCAGGCAGCTGAAGCACCAAAATCAGAACGCCTTTGTTTTGATATTAAGCTGCCAGGCCTTGGCAGCCCAAAGCCAGTCATTATTCCAGTGATGTATATATATATATATATATATATATGTATATATATATATATATATATATATATGTGCGTGTGTGTGTGTGTGTGTGTGTGTGTGTGTGTGGTGTGTGTGTGTGTGTGTGTGTGTGTGTGTGTGTGTGTGTGTGTGTGTGTGTGTGTGTGTGTGTGTGTGTGTGTGTGTGTGTGTGTGTGTGTGTGTGTGTGTGTGTATGTGTGTGTGTGTGTGTGTGTGTGTGTGTGGTGTGTGTGTGTGTGTGTGTGTGGTGTGTGGTGTGTGTGTGTGTGTGTGTGTGGTGTGTGTGTGTGTGTGTGTGTGTGTGTGTGTGTGTGTGTGTGTGTGTGTGTGTGTGTGTGTGTGTGTGTGTGTGTGTGTGTGTGTGTGTGTGTGTGTGTGTGTGTGTGTGTGTGTGTGTGTGTGTGTGTGTGTGTGTGTGTGTGTGTGTATGTGTGTATCTATATCTGGTACGCCGACGTTACACATAGTGGAGCTCTGTCTGCCCCATTCATGAAACTAGGATGCTCCATCGCATTGGTGACTGCTATCCATACGGGTTCCCAGGGGCGACAGGCTCCATTCGCTTATGTTTGGACATCATCTAAGTGACAGTCCGTCCCGGTGACTCAGTTGGTTAGAGCACCTGCTTTCCGACCCGCCCACCCGTGGCGCGTGGTTCGAATCGATTTGGGCGCCCGCTATTTGCCGTTGACAGCTATGGCCGGCGGCCGGTGGCAACGGTCGCGCTAAAGGTCAGTTGACATCAGAGGGCAGGACGAACCGTGACGGCCATCGCGACACCTCAAACCCCCGCCACTAAATTCTGTCGTAACCTGGATTTGCACGAGCGGGTTGTGGGGTTCGGGGCTCACACAACAAGCACTGCTTGCTGCGAGCTCTGATCGCTGAAATTCATCCATTCAAAGGATTCGGATCAAATCTTTAAAAAAATAATCATCACGTATCTTACCACACCGCTTGCCCCACACTGCAAAAGGTGTGCATGTGGCGCATACGGCAGACGCTCGCTGTATTCATTTCCATCTGATTTTTATGTCATCACACCAATCCGTATAGAGCACAAAAGTACCCTGCTCACATCGCCGACTCCTTCGGCAGTGGCCTGCAATCGCTCGTACTGATACGATGCAGATAAGGGGATGGGCAAGGCCATGTGGTCCGTTTGTCCGTCTGATATTGGCTTTGGTCGGACGTCCCCAGAAAAAAGGCGCTCTCGGACCAATCCTGGAGCGTAGATGCAGATCTGACGTCACCGATCTGCACACAGTGGCAACCTTCCCCGCTCTGTGCCACATCGCTAAAAAAAGATCATCTGGTACAGACATGTGTATTTGAGACGGTGTTTACGTTCATGAGTCCAGTGGACCCCTTCAGGCACTACGGCTGTATGCAACGTCACGACACTCGTTTGAAGTTCGCCGCGGTCTCAAGTCAAGCTGGGATACATGCTAGGAAACATACATTGCAACACTATCCGCCCGCGAGCGGTGCCTTGCCCCCGGATCCGGCAGTGGGAGTTGGCGAGTTAATTCATGATAAGAGCTACCCACGTATGTATACAGCGCATGACTGGTTGTTGGTCACATCGTCATAAGATATATACGGCGCAGAAAACGGAAGCACACCATGAGGGCCCATAACATCGCAGCTTCGTCACATCGGTTATAAGCAAGTGACGCACTCAGGCTTACGGGAGTGACTTCGTGGATAACTTTGCAGCAGACTTTGCGCGTCCTGGGTGTCGGGTGGATCTGAGGTTGGGTTCAGAGGCGAGGTCACCTGATCGACTACGATTTAGCAGCTCTTTCCTCTCGAGACACTGTTCCGTTAGCTGTTAAGTCTGGCGGCGTGACGCCTTTCCCAGTGACGTAGCGACGGTACAACAAGTTGGGTGATCGGTTTCTCCAAGTTTCTTTAATGCATTTTTTTAGGGAATACCCCTCAGGGAGAACAGCTGAAAATCAGTTTTCCGGATTTCTTCTAAGTATTTTTGAGGAAATGCCTTTCAGACAACCTTAATGGTTGCAAATATATATAACCTGTGCCCTGGTGATCCCAACCATGTATATTGCTGTTAATACGGCTACACTGTAAGGCAGAGTAAATAATTGATACGGAATGCGATAGTTTTAGAAGTTAGTATGAGACACGTCAATGCGAGCAAACAATAGTCATGCACTCCCATCCATGAATGATGGCTACTCCAAAAAGCACTAGAACACGGGAAGCAGTTAATTTGCTTCCACATCTACTATATACACTTCTAAGACGTGAACTGTATGGACGCCTTAATTATACACTTATCGCAGCGTTCCACAAGGCACAATATATATCACAAACGCGCCCCAATGAAGTACATGGATGATTCAGTTTGATCACACCAGAAAACACCACTAGTCACGTTGGTCTTGACATTGACCCGTCCACCACAGCATGACAACCGCTACTGACCGAGCCGCGTAGCGATCTCTTCATGACAATCGCTGCTGTCCGAGCCGTACAGCGTTCTCCTCTATGGCCACCTGCAAACAAGCTCACCGCCATGCGCGCACTGAAGCCAGGGAAGTGCGCTGCTCACTTTGCCAGCCGTATGGCGTACTGCCTGGGGCGACCGAGACAGTGTCAGGCTGCGTGACCCTCGAGCGTCGAGCTCACTGGCCTCAAACCAACAACACGCATCGTCCACCGCTGGTCGACTTGGCCGAGAACAATGCAATTCTCGTCGCCTCGTTGCCTGGCGCTGGCTGGCGAGCGGCCGCCGGCGCCTCCTCCGGGCGCGTGCCGTGTGGCGGGCGACCATCAGCCGCCTCCGCTTCCTGCCGACGCTCGTGATCCGCGCCGCGTGTCACGGCGCCGGATCACGCCGTGCCCCGTCACCCTGACTCTGCCTGGCGCCGGCGGCGACCGGCAGACCGGCGCTAATTGCCGACCTCCGGAAGCGCCAGCCCACCCAGCGCTGAGCGCCGGCACAGCGCCGCCCGCCGACGAGGCTGCGGGCTCCCAGCGGCGGTGCGCCCAGCGGCGCCCCCAGGCGAGGCTGCGGGATCCCAGCGGCGCCCGCCGGCTGTCCTTCGAGGGCCGGGAGGGAAGAGGGGGGGGGGGGGGGGGGGGCCTGCCGCAGGTGAGACCCTTGTGGAGGTACGTCACGCCCGACCAGACACGTGCGCCCTGGCCCCGGAACCGCCGTCTCGCTTGGTGCCGGCCGCATTCACACCTGACAGCGGCCGTGACGTCACAGGCGGCCGGATGTTGACAATCGGTGACGTCGGGGCCGCCCGTCACAAATGGTGGGAGAGGCGCATCAGCGATGGCTCGGGTCGCCTGTGTCAGATCTCGGATGGCTCTCGGCCCTTGTGTCCAGTCAACTGTGGGCGTTGGCAATAATCTGGTAGCAGCATGCGTTATGTCAAGAGATTGGTTTGGGTCCTCAAAGGCTATGAATGAGATGACATATGCTGTCAATGTGACACAACAATGTTGGGAACGCATGTGGCGTGTCCTGGGTGAATGAAAATAATTCTGGATAATGCCCCGATCTGTTAATATGATGTCAATTAAGAATTCGACTTAGTTTACGCGCGAACGCGCGCACTCGTCGCATGTAACGCAGAGCTTGTAAATCCAAGAAGATGCAAGAGGATGCAAGAAAATGCTCATCAACGGAGCGACGAGCATCCGCACTATACATGCGCCAACCATCATTCAGGAAATCTTTCATTTTGGAACAGAGTGCTGAAAGAAGCCTTTATCGGGGGCCAGGAGCTCTCGCGCCGCCAACTGGGAGGAGAACAGAGATGGTCACGCAGCACACCTGGACGTGCGTCGTGAGCTGCATAGAATCCACGTGTTTGGTTAGTGACGTGGCTAAATCCTCGGACCACACGCCTCGGTCACGGTGTCCAGTAAAAGCAGCGGACAAGACGTAGCCATCACATAGAGGCGTGAGGAGCGATGGCGTTCAGTCATCGACTGCAAGACCGTGCGATGCTGCAGGGTGTCCGTGTCGTCGGTGGTATTGGTGAGGATTACAGCTTCGTTGCACGTCGGCTTCCGGGGCTGTCGTATGTAATCTTTGTGGAACTTAAATAGAGGGGTCAGTATACGAAGATAGATCAAACTAAAACACTTTGAATGCCCGCGGAGAGGGTGGCCACGAGCTTCCGCACAGGTACGCGTTCCAGACAAGACGAACAGATGAGAGCGTTTGTGAGAAGACGCAAGCAGCGACGGTGACATATAGTCCGTTGGTACCGCGGCACGTTCCTGAGACTCCGTAGCGTCGCAGAGCGTTAACGGAAGCCTTAAACGCATACAGGTAGACGCCAGCGCCACTGCGTAGACTGGAACACACACACACACACACACGCACACACGCTGACGCCACGTCACGCCGGCTGGATTTCCCGAGTTTGTGCTGCGGACGTCTGGACACAGCGTGACTCCGACGGTCGGCGCCGAACTCCGCGATCGCCCGCGGTCCGAGCTTGCCGATTCACGACGTCGGACCTCGTCGCCCGCGACTCCGTCCGCGCTAGGCTCGTCGCTCCTGCGAGGCGGCATTCCCTGCTTGGTCCGTACCTCCGCAGCTCCTCGGAGTGTCCGGGTCGGCCGAGCCCGCCCGCCAGGCGGCCGCCTGCTCAGCACCGCCGCGGGAGGGGACGGCGGGGAGGGGCAGAGGTGACCCCGCTGCCCGACTCTCGGTCCTGCTGACGATGAGAGGGGCGGAGGCTGGGGAAGTCACACCGGTGACAACACCCCCGGTCTGGGAACCAGCACTGTGTGCTGTCCGTCGGCGGCGGCGGCCGCTCCGCAATCGTTCGTGCTGACGGCGGGCGTCAACGTTCGCAGGCGCTGAGGCAATACGCGTGCCGCCCAGCACAACAGGCGCTGCTGTCCGGCCGCCGCGGCCCGCCGTCCGGCGGTCGGCTTCAGACCGCCGGCTGTCGCAGCAGCAGCAGCAGCGGCAGCAGCGGGGCGGTCAGCTGGAGCCGGATGACCGCGGCTGACCTGGTGGCGGCGCTGCCCGGCCGCTGCGGCAGCACGTTGTCGTCCCCGAAGCCCATCACTGCCGCACACAGGACGTATGTCAGCGTGCAGCCGAAGCCCATCACTGCCGCACACAGGACATATGTCAGCGTGCAGCCGAAGCCCATCACTGCCGCACACAGGACGTATGTCAGCGTGCAGCCGAAGCCCATCACTGCCGCACACAGGACATATGTCAGCGTGCAGCGGGCGGGTACGGGGCACGTGGAGGGGGTCTGGTGCGGCGGTGCGGCCGTTAGCGCCGTCAGTCCTCGTGGTGCTGTACATTCCATACTTGTTGTTGGAGGTATATCTTAAGTGAGCGCTATAGTGCAACGAAAAAAGGGAAAAGAAAAAGGTCAGTCAACTGAAGAAACCTTTACGTGCTGACAATTCATACCAAAACAGTTCAAACAAGCTGAAAAAGTGCCGTCAACCCGTGGTGAACGAACAACACGCTAAGCGATTTGGCAACTGCGAGCAATGCATGCATCTGATCGCATGCAGCTAAATGAACATTGAAAACGTGCCCCCGTAAACGGTAAGCGCCCGGCCCGAACGTGCCTCTGGGAGACAGCCAAAGTGTGGCGGGTGCTTGATGCGCGCGGACAGGTGCAGAACATGCAAGCATGCGACGCATACTCCGTGCAGACGTAAGCCTATCATCGGGCAACGGAGGCAAGATTACCGGCTTTGAGCGTTTCACTAGTGGGGTTCAGGGGAATGCATGCTGGAACACAAATACACAAGACCGCAAACCCCGAAGGACTGTTGGAGCCCTACTGGCTACGTAAGCTCGCGACCCATGAACAAATTCGTGTCATAGGGACCATGCATACAGATATCCCACGTCCGCGGTACTTTGTAAGGCGCTCAAGGTTTCCAAGCACTCATAACGCCGATAAAGAACACAACACACCGGATACGCCCGGCTGAAGGAACAAGGGCGCCGCGCCCCACCGTGGAGCACATCGTGAAGCGTGGTCCCGCCGCAACGGAGCGCCATTGTGGCGCGCGTGCGCCAGGCAGCACAAGAGAACCAGGACAGCTCGGGCGGGCAGGGGGCAAAGGTCCGCGGCGCCGGCCTGCAGCCACTGAGCCGAAGGTCGTGGCGCCAGGCTCGCCCCCTGAAGCGCGGCCGCGTCACACAGCGGCGGAGTGCAGCCTTCGGGGTCTGCTCGCCGGCGGTGCGTTACGCCTCCGTGACGATTTTGGGCGTGAAGCGGCCGGCTCACCGCGGACACGGCCGGCCTTGATACAGCGGCGCGACGGGACAGGCAACGGGGGGGGGGGGGGGGGGGCAGGCGGCGGTGTGCCAACACACGAATTTACATGCGTGCGAGCCTTTGGTAAACAAGGCAGTAGATCATTTCCGCGTTTCAGCGTACGTTTAATGTTTCTGTTTAAGCGGAGAGGGACCTGGGATGTAAATAATCGTACTTCCACGGTAGGCCAGATACCAAGGACATCAATACATACTTCATAATACACCACGGGTGCGTGTTATGACTTTGCCTTGATAGCTACACCTATTGCTTTTTTCGCGAAATTCGTTGTTTTCACTAATGTTACCTACATGAAATGTTTTAAAGTATGCTAGGAGCTTTTCGGAGAACCACGCATGGAAGTTGCGTTCTGCGTATCCTAAGTGGATTTCACGCAGTATTTCTGTCCTGTTTCAAACGCCTTACCTGAGTTCATGCAAAAAGATAATATCCCAAGTGTCAACCAGATTTTTGTGAATGAAATGAAAGATGGAGATTATCCCTATCGCTGCCCCAGCCTTGGTGACTCAATATTATGCACATTAAGGGCTGGCCTTCATTGAGACAACACAAACTCCACGAATTTCAACGTATGCATTTCAATGAGACAATGAAAATTAAGGTATCTTGCCTGAGTTGGAGAATCGGTAGCTGATAGCAATCACTAGTTGGAGATCCTACTCCTAGATTTAATCGCGAAACATCTAGAGACGTCACACATTTTGTGACGTTTCCAACAGATTTCCTTTCCGAAAACGATTGCTATCAGGGTAATACTGTCGTCCAAAGCCAAGTAGATCTAAGAGCCATTAGCTGACATAGCACTTAGGCCCTCTTGCCTTTGAACAACAGACAAGCTTACGTTTTTTTCAGACATTGGCAACAGCCGTCACATAACCATGCGGCTACTTGGTCCACGCACCATCAACCGGCAGAGCTGCTTACAGCGACCGCTTTCGCAACGGCTCAAAAATTTGGGGTCGTCTTTGGGTGCAAGTGGACTCTGCCAGTGTTCGATATCTTCCCATTAATATCGATGAATGGGCAGACACCGAACAGCTGTGTTTTGAGATTAAGTTAGATAACCAGGAGCTGATAGAACAAGTACTTGGAACTAACCCGTCGCCAATCCGATGCTTTAAACACAGGGTCGAACACAAGACATTCGCACAGCACCATACCATCTGCTTAGCTCCGGGGAAATTGCAGGTGCATGACGCACCTTCCGCATGCGCGAGAGGCTGTACTCCAAATGCATGTTTCCAAGCTATCTGCCACTGAGCAGTAATCTAGTTTTCTTGAGAAACGGCTGGTCTATATCACGCTGCGCATGTTCGTGCCTTAAACCATTGCACAATGGGTGTGAGCAATTCATGCCTGACGTCAATACCGTGCAAGATTTGGTGCCGCTGTATGAACGCACTTTAGAGCGTACATCTTCTCAAGGCACCTACGCTGACATCCGAAATCGAGATATTGATATGCAAAGCACGCTTCAAGCGGAAGCCAACAATCAGCGGTTTATTTTTTTATGTTTTGCTCCATCAATCCACGCCACGGCTATGGCGCCGACTCGACAGTAAGCACGCACACACTCGCAGCGTTAGTTATGCGCTGACGGACGTCACACTTCTTGCCAGAACGAGGACAAAGCCGCCGGTAACACGGATGTCACACTTCCTCCCAGAGCGGGGACAAAGCCGCCGGTAACACGGACGCCACACGAAGTGCGGGTTAGCGGCACGTTAAAAGCCGGTGAGCGGCGGCCACTCTGCTCGGCGCACATGCAGCTACACGCCCGCTGTTATCACAGTGTCCGTGCTCGTGCCTACGGCCCACTGCCCCTCCGAAGCGTGTGTGGTGGTGAAACAGGAGCGCTGGCGTGCGTCAGCAGTCGTTTGTGCCCCGAGGCGGCCGCGGGTCAGGCCCGGGGTCAGACTGACCTGCCCGCGCTACCCCCGGTCCGCCTAAGCCTGATGAGGCCGGCGACTCAGCAGGTGACGAAACATTCGGAACAGCTGTCTTCGCGCTTGAGAACAAAAACGAGCGCCGGCTGATGGGGTGCGCCAGGCTATGGACGAGGACTTATTGGCGTTGGTCGCTGATATTTGGGACACTTACTGGGAAGTAGGATATTATATTGTCGGGGTCAGACTATTGCCCAAGTCATAGTGGCCGTTTCTGTCTGTTGCGTTTTGGGAGAATTCTGATCGGTCAAATATTTCAGGGACCGAAGCATACATTTGAAGGATGTCTCTTTCCAAGCGGATTCAAAGCTCCACCTATCGTCGTTGATGAAAGTCAGCCGCAACGTCGTTTTACATTGATACGCCACCGGTCTGTGAGGTCGTAATTCATCGAAAATATCCCCAGTAGGTCTGCCAGAGTAGAAGATAACGCAAAATTTTTCGGTTGGTAATTTGTCGGACCGACACAAGCCTCCTGCATTCCCGTACACGATATGCGGGCAAGCTTCGCATCTACGTCTCGTATCATGGTCTGCTCTAGCAAGGCTGTCTAGTGCCAAAGCAAGCACAAATCACCTTCATCCTGGAATATGTCTGGTAAAGCAGCTCACAAGTCGCATAACTAAGCTTGCCTGCATGAATCAGGGCGGTAAGATTGTTTCAAACTGCGTGAGAACTATAAGAATGTGGCAGGTTATATAAAGTATATACGTATGCCTGCTGGGGGCTGTGTCTAAGATAGCATGGATGCTGCCAAATCGCGTCACGTTTTGAAAAAAAGAAAATACGAGCTTTCTCAAAACGGCATGGTCAATGCAAGAACAATCAAGTGACTGAAAGTAAACAGTCTTATTTTCACCAAGTTCGTGATTTAAGTGCTAATCCCAAACTATTAGGGATAGACGTGCCAGCCTAATATGCGCCTCTGTTAAGTTCTAAGCCAATCAAATACAGCCGTAAGTTAATCAAACAAAGCTGTAAGTTAATCAAGCAAAGTTGTAAGCTATTCAAACAAAGCTGTAAGTTTATCAGACAAAGCTGTAAGTTAATCAAACAAAGCTGTGAGTAATCGAACCAAATCCGTGAGCAAGTACTGACATAGTAGGCCAAACATCTTTACTATTGGAAGTGCTCATTCAGAAAAATATCGACATGCTTCTAAACGCTACGCGCTCTATATGCTTCTAAAGGGCTAACGCTATGCGATGCGCTCACTCCCAATCTAGGGCTGTGTAGAAGCAAGATATAGACGACAGAAAGGACTGGCAGTATAAGAGTGCTGAGGCCGGGTCAAAAAGCTTGCGCAGTCCGTGAGCTTTTAGACCGAATGAGTAGCCTTCAACGGCAGAGCTTGTTCGATCACTTGGACACCTTTAAACTCCACAGCATGGTGCTTTGAGCACGGCCGGAGGTCCTCAGCGCCCAACTGCCATCAAACGAGCACTGAGTCCTGCCCAGAAACTGAGCCAGGCTTCAACTCAATTAGACCGTGTTTGTTTGGGAGATCCGCCACAGGGCTGCCTCAATGCATCAGCAGCTTACCGTTTCCTGCAACCTTGCAGGGATACACTCGTCATATGTATATAATAAGTCCGCATGAACCCGTCGGCCAGGTCATTATCAGGTCACGTCAACCAGCGGCCGTCAGCGATAAACGCCCTGTTAACGGTGAGCGCGCGAGTATCTGGCGCCGACGGGGGGCGTTTATTTACGGACACCCTGCAGCGCCTGCGGTCAGGTCGGCGGGGGATTGATGTTCGCCCACTCGTCCCATTTGAGTCAGCAGAAAACGGATGTCTGGTTTTTCAGTCTCGCTGCCCCGTTCAAAGGAGGCAACACGACTTCGTAGTTTAAGACCTCGTAGTTAACGTAACCTCTGCTGCCTCAAAGCTGTGAGAAACACGGTGTCTTTTAAACACGACAGAGTATCCAAACACAGAATTGGCCATCAGAAATAAAAGTCGATTTAGGCTGGAGAGATAAAGCGTCCACAAGCCCAACTTTACGCCAGTGACCACGTGGGTCGTGCGGTGTTCTCAACTTTGTTTGTTACGCGTCCATTTTGCGAAGTACGACACCTGCGCGCCCGTCCAAATTCGGGAACTCACAGCGACGCATGTAGAAGCTTGCGTCAACAACACGTCGACGCACGCTTGAGTCCTTCCAGCCTTAGTAAAGATGCATAAGGTTTAGAGGAGCAATCAAGAACGTGTAACGAAAGTGAGGCAAACTCTTGAGTGTTTGGGATCTGCCGATCTGCCTACGGGACGCGACTGCGCAAAGTGCGAGATGTACGTTCACTGGTCAGAGCAGTATTGTGAAACAACGGCCTTCCCTCGTGCTGAGCAGAGTCTGGAGGTGATCCCGCGTTCACAGGTAAGGTGTGGATACAGTCCCCTCGTGCTGAGCAGAGTCTGGAGGTGAACCCGCGTTCACAGGTAAGGTGTGGATACAGTTCCCTCGTGCTGAGCAGAGTCTGGAGGTAAAACCGCGTTCACAGGTAAGGTGTGGATACAGTCCCCTCGTGCTGAGCAGAGTCTGGAGGTAAAACCGCGTTCACAGGTAAGGTGTGGATACAGTCCCCTCGTGCTGAGCAAAGTCTGGAGGTGAACCCGCGTTCACAGGTAAGGTGTGGATACAGTTCCCTCGTGCTGAGCAGAGTCTGGAGGTAAAACCGCGTTCACAGGTAAGGTGTGGATACAGTTCCCTCGTGCTGAGCAGTCTGGAGGTGAAACCGCGTTCACAGGTAAGGTGTGGATACAGTTCCCTCGTGCTGAGCAGAGTCTGGAGGTGAACCCGCGTTCACAGGTAAGGTGTGGATACAGTTCCCTCGTGCTGAGCAGAGTCTGGAGGTGAAACCGCGTTCACAGGTAAGGTGTGGATACAGTTCCCTCGTGCTGAGCAGAGTCTGGAGGTGAACCCGCGTTCACAGGTAAGGTGTGGATACAGTCCCCTCGTGCTGAGCAGAGCCTGGAGGTGAACCCGCTTCACAGGTAAGGTGTGAATACAGTCCCCTCGTGCTGAGCAGAGCCTGGAGGTGAACCCGCGTTCACAGGTAAGGTGTGGATACAGTCCCCTCGTGCTGAGCAGAGCCTGGAGGTGAACCCGCGTTCACAGGTAAGGTGTGGATACGGTCCTTGTAAGCTGTTACATTCTGAACAACCGATATTCAATGTCCTGGACGGTTCTGACAGCACGGAAACATCATGTAATCATTTTCATACATTACATACTTAACGTTTCCAGCAGTGCTCATGATCACGAGTGAACAAGGTTAAGCTATCTGCGATCTTTGTTACCATGACTAAGTCATCCGTCTATGACCTTTGTTAAAGCCTTTTTATGGAGCACCAGTGACTGCATTGGCCATATTAACGCTCATGCGCAACCAGGGTTTTTGGACCCCCACGAAGGATTCTAGCGCGCTAACCACTCGGCCATTGTGCCCCCCCTTTGTTAGAGCCCCGTGTATATATACAGTCACGGTGATGTTTGTTTACAGACATACAAGCTGCGTTTTGATATTCACCGGCGGTGTGTGGTCCGAATCAAGCTGCTGTTTATTTACCGCGGGCTACAACGCAATGGTCCAGCACTCGCACATTCATTGGAATCACTTGCTCACACGGTTCTAATCTCCTGGATAGTTTGTTTACGTGAGCTCAGTGTTGTGACTTCTGGTTAACGTACTATAGATTAGCTGACGCTAGCCTGTCGCTTACATATACAGTCTAACTCTGTGTGTGTGTGTGTGTGTGTGTGTGTGTGTGTGTGTGTGTGTGTGTGTGTGTGTGTGTGTGTGTGTGGTGTGTGTGTGTGTGTGTGTGTGTGTGTGTGTGTGTGTGTGTGTGTGTGTGTGTGTGTGTGTGTGTGTGTGTGTGTGTGTGTGTGTGTGTGTGTGTGTGTGTGTGTGTGTGTGTGTGTGTGTGTGTGTGTGTGTGTGTGTGTGTGTGTGTGTGTGTGTGTGTGTGGTGTGTGTGTGTGTGTGTGTGTGTGTGTGTGTGTGTGTGTGTGTGTGTGTGTGTGTGTGTGTGTGTGTGTGTGTGGTGTGTGTGTGTGTGTGTGTGTGTGTGTGTGTGTGTGTGTGTGTGTGTGTGTGTGTGTGTGTGTGTGTGTGTGTGTGTGTGTGTGTGTGTGTGTGTGTGTGTGTGTGTGTGTGTGTGTGTGTGTGTGTGGTGTGTGTGTGTGTGTGTATGTGTGTGTGTCTCAATGCACGTCACGTACTGAGTCAGAATCTTACAAATTCTGCTGCAAACGGGCGAGTTCACTGGGAGCGATGGAGCCGAACACCGCGTCAGCTCACCGTTTACGGAGGCCCGCTCGCGACGCCCGCGAGCCTCCCTGCCAGGGCGACAGCCGGGTGATCCCATATAACCCCAGCTGCTGAGCGCGTCGTAAAGCCCAATGACACAACCACGGATAGTTGCTGGTGGCGCAGTGGTTTTACTGGACGCCTGGGAAACCCGAGATACCAGGGTTCGATTCCTCGTGGTGCCCGTCATCCCCGCCACTGAAGCGCTGAGTGCGCCTCAAAGCCTTAATGACAACAACAGCAGTCACTTACGAAACCACATGCGACAACCACACCCGCAGCCTGCGTGAACGTCACCTATCCCGACCCTGGGCCCGCAGTCGGGGGGGGGGGGGGGGGATGACATAGCACGAGCCAGCACACCGGCAATGACCAGAACACCGGCGATGACCAGAACACCGGCAATGACCAGAACACCGGCGATGACCAGAACACCGGCAATGACCAGAACACCGGCGATGACCAGAACACCGGCAATTACCAGGACAGTCCACCGGGACGCCAGTGACGGCATTGCTGTCCATGACAGACCTTTGCAGCTAAGTCACGGCATACACGTCGCCACTTTTTCTCCTGCTACTGTCTCAGTAATACGAACAAATAGGACGGAGTAACTCTGGCCTCACCGAAAACTATTTGCGTTCTAGCACTACTACTTACTTTTACTGTTTTACAATTTTTTCGCTATTTAAAAGCGTTACTCCCGCCAACAAAACAGTCCACCGAAACTCTAATTAACCAGCCCCGGATACACGCCTTTGTTCCGCAATGCGACGGAAAAGCAAGCCGAGCGGAAGGGTCGATTTGGAGCCGCGGCATGCGTCAGTCACCGGCTATCGTTTATCAGTCACCGCGCCGTGTGGCGGTCAGCTGAGTAAGGCGGGCCAGTCCGGTCCGGCGGGCCGGGCACCGTCATGCGTTAGTCAGAGTCTGGCACCGCTTCCAGGAGCCGCCGGGCGCGTCAACCCGTGTCGCCGATCGGCGGGCGTGTTCCGCGAGCGCGCTGAAAGAGTTCTGCGAACCGCCGGACCCGAGCCGGGATTCCTGGAATGCGCTGAGTGCCTGGGTGCGGTCACGTGACCAGCGGTGTTGCGTCGGGAGCTCGGCGCGGGTGGGGCGGCAGGACCCGCATGACTGGGTACGCCATGTGCAGTGAGCAGTGCAGACTGCTAACGGCCGGCAGAGAATGGGGCAGACCCGCACAGTCAGACCAGACCCGGACCCGCAGACCTGTAGACCCGCAGAGTCCGGCCGAGTTTGCGCGCGGATTCAGACATATATGCAGGATTTTGCAATGAATGGTGGAAACAACCGAACGTTTTCGATAAACACTTAAGCGCGCTGCAGGTTCGCAACATTTTTGGCATGCTGTAAAACATTACTTCACGTTTTCATTCCACTCTGTTGTACGTGCCTACTTTAGTTATGAATTGTCAAAATCTACACAAAGGCGTATTTATGCATGGACAAATTTGCTAAGGGGGACGTGCCCCCGGTGTTCCTCCTTAATCACACCCCTGCGCGGATTGGTCCTCGAGCGTTAGAGATGGGCATGGAAACTCGAAATAACATTTACGTGGACTACATGCTTACGTGAAAAATAGTTAATTTCAAGAGCATGTCATGCAAAATGTTGCAAATACGCGACATAACAAATACAACCATAGCAGTGGTGTTTGCAGTAGCTATGTTGAATGGCCCCCAAAATGTTGATCTTGCCATGCGACATACAATGTAAAAAAGACAGCAGAAAATGTACATGCTATCAAAATGCCAACACCAAATCGGGCACATTTGCATCGTCACGCCACCGCCATCACCACAGAAATCATGTAAAAGTTGCACGCATACTGAGTATTTACCTCAGAAATACGACACTCGAATCAAGATCACTAAAATGTCCCACGTTTGGGAGCCGCCATTCGGTGCACCAAGGCCAGCACGCCACGCTACCCGAGCGGCCAGCCGCAAAACCGCACCTTCCTGGCTCCCCCAACGGACCTGCTACCAGCTCCGGCCGCGTCAGCGCGCCCACGGCCGACGCCGAGTCTGTCTGTCTCACCTGCCTCGCTGTCGCCCTCGTCGGCAGGCGGCGGATGCCGCTGGCTGGAGGGCGACATCAGACTGGAGGACTGGCTCTTGCAGCCGAACCACCAGTAGCCGCTGGGCCGGGGGTACGGCGGGTCGGCGTTGTCGACCTGGCGGCGCGGCCGGCCCGGTCACGCCAGGACCCCGTGCGGCGCAGCGAGCGGAATCGAAGCACGACGGTCGAGGGTTCGACTTTCAGGAGACACGGGGTGGGTCGCACTGACCCGGTCGCTGGCGTAAGAGGATGTGGCCCCATCATGTCCGTGACCCCACGCGTCTCGCTATGTCCCCGCCCCCCCCCCTCCCCATCCTTCCGCGACAACGTGCCTGCAGCCCGCCGCTCCGAACGGACCGAACGAACTCGGCGCCGCCTCGAACGGACGGCGGACGGCACAGGCGCCTGCAGCGGGCCGGGGCGGTCCAGGACCCGACACCACGGCCTTGGCTCGGTCACGTCCCGAGGTGGGCCGGCTCGGCGGCGGCCGCGCCTTCGATAGCGCACGCCCCCAGCCGGTCAGCCTGCCACGTGACTCAGGCCAGCCTGGGGACCCGGTCACAGCAAGCCCGCCGGCAGCGGACATCGCTGAGCCCGCTGCGCCCCAGGTCAGCAAGGTGAGTGCTCACCTGCACTCACCCGGAGAGAGCCAGTCGAACAGGCCCGCCGCCGGCATTGCTAGAGACTCACCCTGAACCGGGCGTCGTCGAAGCGGTAGTAGTAGCCCTTCTTGAAGAAGTATGACCGGCCGTTTGAGTAGGTGAGCGCCGCGTCCAGGCCGTCGGGCAGGTTGCCCCAGTTGCTGATGGGCTGCGGGTACGAGCTGGACACAGGGATACGCCGCATCGGGTCGAACTTCCAGTACTGGCTGCCCTTGAAGAAGTACACCTTGCCGTTGCCCGTCCACTGGAGCGCGGCGTCGACGTTGGACGGGATGCCGCTGAAGCCCTCAGAGATTAGTCTCGGGTAGCCGGCGTCCATCTTGAAGCGGGTCATGCGCCAGTAGCGGTCGCCCTGGCGGGGAAGAGGCGCGTGAGTGAGGCGCCCGCGTGACACTGCGAGAATGGTCGGAAAGACCACGAGCGGTCAGAATATTGCACTTCGATAATTCCGCTGCAGTACACCTCTTTAGTGGCACCCAGTGCTCTGTCGTTATTACGGGGCTGACAGTACTCGACTTTGCCAACCACTACGTATTGGAAAAACTCAGCCACTTGATCTGCATGGCCCTATCTACCAACAAGCTCTCCAGCAGCCTATCAATCACCTTGAAGAAGAAGATGAGGTCTTTCTTAGGCAAGCTGAAGGCGGCGTCCAGGTTGTTGGGCAGGCCGTCCCAGTAGTCGCGGATGCGTCGCGGGTAGCCATTTTCTATGCCCGTGTCGGTCAGCCGCCAGTACCAGGCGCCCTGGAAGACGTATGTCTGCTTCTGCGAGCCGGCCGTGAAGATGGCGTCGACAGTGGCGTCCGAGCAGAGCTGGCGGTCCTCGCCGGCTGCCGGCGCCGGCGCCGGCGGTCGCGCCGGCCGCTGCGTGGGGACCGCAGCCGGCCGGACCGCGGGCTTCTCCTTCGGCCCGTACAACGCCTGCGGTAGGTCAGAGCATCGGAAGGTCAGCGAAGGTCAGAGCGCGGTCAAAAAATGCAGGTCAAAGCGCGGAGGCCAAATAGGCAGCGTATATTTGCACAGCATCGAGAAGTTTTCGCAGGGCCAATGGAAAACCAGCTTTTACCAGATTCGATACTGCTCCCGTGAGACGGTTGCAAGCGGCAGTCCTCCTCCATTCCTTCAGGTCACGTAAAGTCATTATCGATCGACTCAGAATCCATTACTAACGACAGAACGCTGCCTCATTAAAGGCAGCACGCGACGTAGCGGTCAACACTGCGTGACCGCCGAGACTCGCACCTTCCAGTGTGCCCCAGAGGGGGCGGGGGGGGGGGGACAAGCAGCTGACCTGAATGCCGAGAATGTCGTCCTCAGTGAGCACGTCCGTGTCGCCGGGCCGGCGCGGCGACTTATAGAAGGGCGCCATCAAAGAGCGCTGGTCGTCCGAGTGCGAGAGGCCCAGGCTGTGGCCGATCTCGTGCGAGGCCGTCATGAAGATGTCGGTGCCGCGGCCGCCACCGGCCGACCACCGTTCGGCGTCGTCAAAATGAGCATCACCGCCGTACAGCGGGAAAAAGGCATGCGCCAGCGTGCCGCCGCGCCCGTCGAACGGGTCGCCGTCGCCGTGGTCGCCGCGCGCGAACCTGAGGCCGAGGTCGTCGTCACGCCGCGCGCGCACGCGGTCACGCCGCGCGGGCCGCGCTCACGCCCGATATCGCTCAATATCGAGCTGTTGCGTCGGCCCGGCCCATGTCGAAGGCGACGGCACCGCGCGCTACAGGCGTGGGCCTGGATCGCAATGGTGAATCACGGGACACCCTCGGTGCGTAGTTGATAGGATTGGGATCGCAAATCCTGGATCCGTTCCGAGATCCAGACACACATCCGTCGCGAAGTCGCTTCCGTCGACACGATGTTCCCCTCCGCTGGCGCGCGACATTTCGCAAGCGACCCTTCACGACTGCAGACGAAAACACGCGGTAGGGCCACGCCATTTCAGGCCAAACAGCCTGACAGCGGTAAAGACGTCCACCTGGTGAGTTCACTGACCTGATGGTGACTTGTGCTTTGTCGAAGCGGCCGACCTCCTCAAATGAGAGGGACGACACCTCAGACCAGATCTGGAACGACTGTCGGATCACCTTGCGCACGGCTTTACGGTTGCTGATGCTTGATGGCCAGCTCTCGATCTTGTACTTGATGTTCCGCGTCCGCCAGCGGCTTCCTGTTGGTCGGAAGAAGGGAAAAATTAAGAAAATAAAATAAAAACGAAAAGATTCAAGCCTGCTTTGACTCCAGGCCCCAGCGCTTCACTTTTGTACGCTAACAAATTCAAGATATCCTGAGCAGGAGTTCAGGTTTCAGCAGGGCCTAGGCCATATGGCACGCTGTTTCCCTTTATCATTCGTGACAAAGGAGATATCCGTGAATCACATGTAATTTTATACACATAGTTGAGTTACCTTAGACAAAGGGAAGCGCTTCACTTCAGGCAGCTGTTTCCTTGCCCCTAAATCACTGCTTGATTTAGCATTCTGGTTTCGATAAGTAACCCCAGATGGCACCTGTCTGTTTTTGTTGCTCAACCAACAGTCCTGAAAGACCTTCCAAATCTCGCTCGAGATCACGCGATGTGAACGTTAGCTGGAGAGGTGAGCACGAATGCGGATCCCATCAAATCCCTCCTCTCGCAATAGATCAGTCGGTGATAGCATACAGGACAATAAATAGCTTGAAATTCACCGCTTAGCCATCTATTAGACACCAAAATCAGACCACCACTGCAGGGCACTACGGATAGTTTCCCTGCGGTTTCCCTCAACGGCGGTCATATGGAAACATCGAACCAAAAATCAGAGCGAGTCACTTCGCTATCAACAGTTAGTTTCCGAAATACCATCCATCTTCCGAAGGACTGTTCATCCTCATATGCCAGTCAGCCTAACGAGAACTTGATGCATTGCTCAACTTAACAGCCTGAACATGATAGTTGTGTAACTGCAGGCATCATAAATGCAGTGCTTTATGCTGGACTCAAATGTCCAATAAATGTATAACTTAACAAGTATCCTGCGGCATATGTAACGCAATGCGATTAAATGCCCTTCCTCCTAACGTGGTCTCCACCTACCGCCAGTCGTTCGTTTTTTTCGATACCCCCGAGCTTTAAGCTGTGGTTATAATTTTACAGTCCAGTTGCATACCAGTCAATTTACAAAAAAAGCTGTCGGGATACGCATCCATTTTCCTCAACAACGACTCCGCCTGACTGCATGCTCCGGTCTGTCCTCTGTTCCTTCTGTGCTATTCGGAACGGCGGCTAGTTCAAGGGCACCCACCCTCGCGGAGTCACCACCTACCCCCGTCTGTTCCTTGAGACCTGGAACCGTCCCACCGATTGCCTTCATTTCCTCCATTTCTTTCCTGCGGCCCATCCAGGCCGTTACTCTTAAGTCAAAAAGCGGGAGAACTGAAGGACTCTTAGGCTTTCCTCTGCAGTCAAAAGGACTCAATTTCTTAGAATGGCGGGCGTGGGCGACAGCATATGGTCATACGTGTTGGCACTCAACTGAATGCGACGGCATTTAAAGCCGCTGGTGGAAGATCCTGACTGAGGTGAAAATCTTTCAGAGTGAACCGCATGCAGTCGAACACGGAGTACATACGGCTGCGACACGCCGCGCAAATTCGTGCAATTTCGCGCGCTCAATTAATAATGTCGGTGCGCATACTTTGTGGAAATTAATCCGGATTTTCATATGGTTGGCGTCCACAATTAACCCTGATTTTCATATATTGGCGTCCACAAGGAAAAGCGTTACAAGGCAACGTTGACGACATGCTATCTAAGGGCTTGCCTGCACGCACGCGTCAATATACATCTGGCAACTTTCCGCCAACATTTCGATCACATCTCCCACCACACATTACTAATGATGTACATGCGAGACTATCAAACAAAAGGAGCAAACGTTTACCGGTCCACGAGTGCAGAATATGAACGTTTGCTTTTGTTCGTCTTGTCGCGATATTGACACCACGCACGTGCGTACTTGCTTGAAGCACACACAGCCTGCTGATAAGTAGTTCAACGGCAACTGTGTCAAGGGTCCAGTGTTCGACAAACCTCCGCTTCGCATCGCTCAGTGAGAACCTGCGACTGCATAGCACAATCCGTTATCGAACGCCAGCGATACGGGCGTCAGCAGCGCGGCGCCACTGTCCCAGACGCGGCACGGCCGGCGCTGGCGGCCAGCTGGCGTTACGTAAGAGGCTGCCGAAACAGTGGGGCGGCGCACCGGGGCGGGGCGCGACCGACCGGATGCGTCCCAGCCCACCGGAACGACCCATGACCCATCGCAACGGTCTGGGGGGTCCACCATAGCCGACCGCACTCTGTCAAGGTGGACCTCTGTCCGCACTGCCTTCCAAGGCCTGTGGTAAGGACTCCTGGTTCTTCAAGCTTGCCCGCATCCCGCAGGACTGGCTGGCAACTCGCGAGCCGCGTACCAGCGTACCCGCTCCGGCTGCAGCTCGAAGTTCCCGCAGCCCAACGGACTGCCTGACAGATCGCGAGTCGCGTACCAGCGTACCCGCTCCGGCTGCAGCTCAAAGCTCAGCGGTCGGACACAGCAAGTCGGACAAGACAAGCACACCGGACCAAGCCGGAGGGGTCCATCGTGCACCAGGGAGCATCGCGGTCCACGGGTCTTACCGCCCCACCCACTCCGCCATAGACGAAAAGGTATCATAAACATAAAGCATAAAAATCAAATATACCCGGAGGAAAACGGCTGGTGCAGAGAGTGACAGGGCTAAGAGTGAAATGTTCTCTATCCGCAAGGGCTGTTTGTGTCATTCGGACTAATTTATCAAGGAAATGATTCCCAGGCTGCTGTTTACCAGCAGCCAGCTCCCAGTCCGCCTGACCGTGGACACGTTGCGCCAGCTTTGCAGATTGTGTCAATGCCAGCCGAAGGACAACGGCGCAGTGTGCAGCCCACAGCGGGGCGGTCACGCGGCTGATGAGGGCTCGTCGAGAATCAGCATAAGCCAGGCCCGGAAAACCCCGCCCACCCGGCGTCAGCCACAGCCACCGGCCTGTCGCGTGACGTCCGAAACGAGGCGACTGGTCACTGGCGATGCTGGAACGAATGGTGGCGTCCGTGAAACAGCGCTTGTAAACGGATGTCGCCCGTCCCATACCTCGTCCAATCCGTTGACTTCCAAAATTCCGCCCAAATTTGCCTTCACGCACGTACTCCTCGGACAACTCCCGTCCGACTGGCATCCTCCCCACTTTGCCGACTGCCTCAAGACGGGGTCGGGGTAGGATTTGCACCCCGGAGCCTTGCCCCGGCGCGGACATGCCTCCACAACCAGGCTGGCGCGGCGCGCGGGCGCCGGCCTTGACCACCTGGTCGGAAGCCCGCACGGAACGGGTCCCACCGGCGGTCGATAGGCCACGCGCGCGCGCGTGATCCGATATGTCGAGCGGCGGCGGCAGCGCAAGTCGCGCCGCAATAGCGCGCGGGGCCGGCTGGCTTACTCACGCCCTGCCGCCGCGCTGTTTACCCCGAGAACGGCCGGAAATGGGTCCAGCCTTGGACGGACAGCCCTCCTGTTTGAGGCGCCGAGCTGGTGACGAACGTGTCGACCGCAGAGGCGGACATGGTGGCGGCGAGCGTGGAGAATTGTGGCAGCGAATGTGACCGCGATCAGGTGTGACTGCATCAAAATGCATCACACGTAACAACACCGCCTTTAAGGATTCACACCTCACGCTACCAGGAGTGGCAGGTCCGCCCCCAGCCCCAGCCCACCGTAAACAGTCATTGATAGTACTATGCGCTTGTGTGAAAACACCAGCTTCTCTCTCTTGGCGACGTTTGCCATAATACAGCCCTGGAATTATGCAATCTCGGCCAAGAGCTACTACCAGGCTACTGCGCAGGGGCCAGGCTAACGGAAGCTGTCAACTGTACGGGCTTCTATGGACTCCAGGCGCTAGGCACGGTTGCGGTCGAAAATGATTGTAAAATTATGACGAGCCTGCCAGAAAAATCAAGATTAAATCACGATAGGCATTAAAGAGAATCTTCCATGTTGGAACGTACTGAAGCAATTATCAGATGTGATGAAACAATGTCACTCTTAACTTCTTATAACTATTGGCATACTTTCAAGTGAAAAAGGCTGCTCTAGCCAATACCATATCTCTGCCAAGGAAATATGCTCCTCAATATGCCATTTGTTTTATTACGTCATCATACCTTGCACCACGTTGATTGAGAGCCAGGCAAGGGCCGTTCTATCTGGAAATCGTGCTTACGAGCGACAAATACAAATGACTCGAAGATTAATTACTTTGGCCTTGATCCCCGCATAGCTTAAAGAACGGCGGGATTTTAATTAAAAAATTATGGTATCGTGGATGTCTCGATGAAATTGAAAGTCTCCCCGAATAGGTCTACACATCTTCGCGGGCCTATAGCTCAGAAACTAGAGACGTTTAGGTCTTACGAAGGGAATGGCTGTAAACTGCACCGCAGTGATCTTCTAGACGGCTATTTCAGCTCCAAACCCCCATATAAATATGGAGCACTCCCTTTACGTTTCCCCAGGACAGCTCACTGCCGCCTGGCCGATCCGGGCTGTGCAATACTAAGAGATCCCAATTAGTGGTGACACACGGTCATGATTCAGAGCGTTGCATTAATCCGCTGAACTATCTTGATCGGTCGCGTCATCTGCAATGAGCGACAGCCGAAACACTGTGCGGAAGGAGCGGCAAATGTGACGTGGCACTGGTACCGCAACGCCCGAACGTCGTCTGTGAGTGTTGCACGATTGGGCTGGCGCAGTGACGCCACCCCGCCCCGTCACGATCCGTGACTGAAACATATTCTCCGGAAGGAACTGTACGCCAGACGCGGGACGGGGCCAGCCACCAACGGTTTGGAGCTTAAGCATGGGTCCGTGGGCGTCGCGTGCAACTTATTGATTTTGCCGCGTGTAACACTTTTCGCTCCTACTTTTTTAAAGTCCGTCCGCGCACAAATGTGTGCCGAAAATGATACATCAGTAGGGCTAACGATACAAACTGTGTTGTTGGTATTACCTTGTCACAGTCAGTAACAAACTCATGCCAAGTCACCTACCATCCAACGTCGAAAGTTTATTTCCAATTTACAGCACGGGAGTTCCGGCCGAGATCAGGTAGAGCTAAACAGCTGGAGTACCCACCTTGCAGAGCGTAGCGTTTTCGCCTCCGGGCGCGATAGCTGGGGCCGATCATGTCCTTGACGCCGCAGCGAGGCTCTCGCATTTTGTCTAACGTGGCCTGGTCCACTTCACCTGTCAACACGTCCCGTCCCGTCAGAACGCGTGTCATGTTAACACAGTACGAAGTGTCCAAACTACCAGCACTAGTGTTTCCAATATTCAACACGGGAACTGCAGGAGGGCGCGGCAGCGGAGTTCGTGTTCTGGCGCAGTTCCCTTTCACGACACCACCGTCTCCCACACCGTTCTCCATGAACTGCACGCGCCGGAAGTCCGGCGACAGTGGGCTCTGCACCGACTTAAGCCTGGCACATCGGCTCTCAGTCAGCTCATGCAAGCTCGCATGCGGCTCACCACGCAGCATATCGCAGCTCGCCTGCGGTGTAAACAGCGAGCCAGGCGCGCGCTGCAGTAAAGCGCAACGCCGCGCCACCGCTGATGCTCGGCGACTGACACCAAGCACCGGGGTCGCTCTCATCCTAGACCATCGCGCCTTTCTCACGTTCAGCGGCGCAGGCGGGGCACGTCGCCCGCCCGCGGACCAGCGACAGCCGCCCCGGTGTGGTGGCGGGGTCGGCCGGCCCGTCGGCGCCCGTACCTGTGACGTTGAGGCCGGCGAACCGCTGGAACTCTGCGATGCTGTCGGACAGAGAGCGCAGAGCGCCCGTCCGCCCGTCGCTCTGGCTCGACACGTATCCGTACTTGGCCAGGTACGCCTGCCGGGTGGCGCGGACGGTCAGCCAGGTGGGACGAGAGGCCCGCTGCGGTGTGCGGTGCAGTGACAGCCACGCGCGCCTCAGAGACAGTGGCCACAGAGCGACACAGCGACAGTTAGCCGCACAGCGACACAGGGCAGTTAGCCGCAGGGCGACACGGCGGTTAGCCGCAGAACGACACAGAGACAGTCAGCCGCAGAGGGACACAGAGACAGTCAGCCGCAGAGCGACACAGAGACAGTCCGCCGCGTCAGCCGCAGAGCGACACAGACACAGGTAGCCAAACGCGGTACGGCGACAGTAAAGACTCGGAGGACGCGTTGACATTCATCCACGGACGGTCCAGTGGCAATTCACCCCGGACAGTTAGCCCCAGGTGGTACAGTGGGGGATAGTAGCGACGCGGTGCATTAACAGTTAACCACGTGGCGATCACCTACCCGTCTCACGTGGCGAGAAGCTTTGCAATTTGTGGTGTTGTAAAAGGACAAGATACGCCAGTTTCCGCCAATCTTTCAACCTCGTGCGACCAAAACCTGTCTCACCAAACTCTATCAGACTCATGGTTTCTAGACGCTATGCACGCCAGGGATAAGCAGAGGGCAGAGGCGGATGGAGCGCGCTCTATTTCGTCTCAACCCGGCGAATGTCCTTTAGCGTGATAACTGGTGGGCCAACTCGGGTTGCTGGGGTAAAATCGAGCATTTGGGTACCTCTTTTTATCTCAGTTTCTAGGCATGCGTCCCTCAACACCGATGAAAACGGTGTCCAATACGCATTGAAGTATTGCTTCAAGTAATCCATTTTGACTATTGGTTGTCACAGCAGATTGTGCTCCACCTGGTGTACATCTGCCATCCCACAAGCTGAGCGCGCCGCGGCAACAGCGACAGCGGTATCTGCCAGTCCCTCTCAGCACATCAAATGCTTGTATCTCTGCCACTTGCCACACACTATACGAGATGACAAGGGTGATATATTGCTGCCTTATATTTTGCCATTTGCACATTTGATCTGGGACAACCTAACCTCTTACATTTTGAAGAACTGTATCACCGTCAATTTCGATAAAACGGAGCATATCATCGCAAAACTTTATTTTTGGAGAAAAAAGAATGGAGCATCAAGGCAACACCGAAATGCAACCGTAACAACTCCGTGATGAAGCTAGATGTTTCACGTGCTAAAGGCTGCAGGCACGTCCTGATACCGCCCACGGTAACGTGTGATGTCTGCAGAGCTGGCATAATGTACCCACCTGCAGTGCGTGTGCGTGCGTGTGAGTCAGTTCTCTTGACATGGCCATACAACCGAAGTGTGAGTCAGTGGTCTGTGCGGTCAAGGGACGCCCGGTGCGACGGGCGTACTCCACTGGACGCGACCGCAGACCAGGTGGGCAGAGCCGGAGGGGCGGGTGAATCAGCGTACACGAGTGGCTCGCTCCGCGTACAACCCTCATTGATAGTTCGGACCGGTTTGACGCCATTCAGAACCTGCTCGGCAGTGGTCCACAGGTGCTGCTCGGGCCGAATGTGTAACACGAGCGGTGGTTCACAGGCGCTGCTCGGGCCGAGCGCGATGCGAGCGGCGGTCCACAGGCGCTGCTCGGGCCGAGTGTGTAACACGAGTGGTGGTCCACAGGCGCTGCTCCAGCCGAGTGTGTAACACGAGCAGTGGTCCACAGGCGCTGCTCGGGCCGAGTGTGTAACACGAGGGGTGGTCCACAGGCGCTGCTCGGGCCGAGCGCCGAACACGAGCGGCACTCGCTCAAGCACGATAGCGGCGATGTGGACGAGCGTGTGCTCCGAAGCAAATCATAAATGGGAAGCTGGTGCTGGTCGTGGTAACAAATGTTTATCGAATGACACTCAAAACAAATAGTCGGCAAATATCAATGCACGAAGCGTTTCATTAGGGGGCGGTGGTGTTCGTTTCCCTGCCCAATAAATGATGAAAGCTGTGGGTTGGCTGTGCAGATGAAAAACACTGATGCAGACTAACGGCCCTCGCAAACATCCACGGCAATACAGCATTGACTGCAGAGGATAATGGCATTGAGTTCAAAACGCACTAACATTTCCAATATCGCGACAAAGAGGGGCTTCCCGGTCCCTTACAGAGGCTGGTGCTACATGACAATGCTGATGCGGACTCATTGCCGGGGCTTTGGCCAGCTGAAATGATACGACCCGAGCGTTATCGCCCGCTGGGAAACACGCACGCTGACGGAAGTGACGTGACGCCTGTGGGGTTGGCTGTAAGTAAACAGGTGTGGTCACCCGATACGTGGAGGGGGGGGGGGGGGGGGGTGGCAGTATATTGACATATGTACGCCTTTGGTGGTAATGTTAGTAGGACTCTCAGTAGTCCCATGTCGAACTAGGTCGCACAGAATAATATTGTCTGGAGACTGACGATTACAACTGGTTTTGTTACTAGGCTAACGACAAGTAAGCACCAGATTTGCCTGGTGATTCGGAGTCTCTCACGGACCGGAAAGTAATATGCACGTCAGCAGGAAAAATATGTTGTGCATCGTTATCCTGGTTTCGTGATACCGCACAGAGTTGGGGGCAAAAGAGAATTAGACCGCATGCAACATGCATATTGTCAGCCACCCATCAAGGTTAAAGTACTGAGTCTTTTAGCATAAACAATGGAATGTCCGTCCCATGCAGTCACCTATGCAATCTGCGAATTTATGTCAAGTGATACAAATAATCACGTGCGTTCAGTTTGTTGGCTTTCAGCGATTTTTCAACGAATGGTCTTATCGAGATAATCCGCTTTTGCAAACCGAGGCTGACTGAATCGTTCGCGCATTATTGCTGTCAGAATTTCGTACGCCGCCTGAAACTTTGAGTGGGTCGCCTGTCCCACCACGTCGCTGGATGGTCTGTATCGGCGGCCACAGCGGTGGCAGCCTTGCAACGCCACCGCGGCGCGTGCACTCAACCCTCCCATCCCCTGTCGCCCCGCCGGTGCTCTGCGCGTGCCTTCATCCCTCTCGTCTCTCGCCGATCCGCCGGCGCCCTGCGCATGCCCTCATCCCTTACGTCCCTCGCCGATCCGCCGGCGCCCTGCGCATGCCCTCATCCCTTACGTCCCTCGCCGATCCGCCGGCGCCCTGCGCATGCCCTCACCTCTTATGTCCCTAGCCGACCCGCCGGTGCTCTGCGCGAGCCCTCATCCTTATGTCCCTCGCCGACCCACCGGCGCCCTGCGCATGCCCTCATCCCTTACGTCCCTAGCCGACCCACCGGCGCCGCGCGTCACTCACCGCCGACTCCGCGACGGCGGCCGGGTCCACGTCCTGCAGGGGTGCGGCGCCCGCCCGCCGCGCCAGCGTCACCAGCGTCGCGATCGCCACGAGGAACCGCGCCACTGCACCCGGGAGCGCCATGTCCGCCGCGCCGTCCTGCGCGAGCGCCAGCGCCGACTGCGGCCCGGTCGCGGCCGCCGCCGGCTCGGCTCCAGCGGCCGGCGACCCTTGAGCTGACGTGAGTCATCCGCAGCCAGCGGCGCGCGCGGCGCCGGACGCGCCGTCGTGAGTCACGCTGCCCCGGGCCAAGCCGACTGGACGAGCTGTCGTCGGGAGCGTTGGGCTGGCGGGATACCGGCACCATCCTCCGGCATGTTCGGAGAGTCAGTTGTGGTGGTGCTTCGACGATTGCTGCGGAGTCCCTTGGCAAACGAGCGTTGGGTTGTCCGTTGGAGCATATGTTGGACTTGATGTGTGTTAATGACTTGTTAAGCCTGCTGTTAAGTCACGCTGTTCGCTTCTCCCCAGTCACGCTATCAGCGTCACATCACGGCTCATGTCATTGGTCACGTTGAGGGTATCAGTGATTCAGAAGGCTCGCAGCCAAAGGCACAGAACTCTGGTGTCAAAAAATAGGCCTTAGTGCTGAAGATCGTTTTATCGTGACCGTGATGTTTTCGTTGTATTAAGACAATTATCGTGACGTTAGAAATGATCGTATACTCGTAATGCTGTCGGTGTTCCATTCCAATAGCCGGAGATCAAAGTGGAGCATGATTCCTCGCCGAAAACGACTACAGTCCGGAACCAGAGGCCCGACAACAGTGAACGGAAAAGCTCCGCCAAAATGTGATTGCCTAAACGGGATGTTCACAGGCGTACCGGTGGAAAATAACTGGCATAGAGCGCTGGAAAAATTGCGCATGGCCAAAGAAGTAACGCTACATCACACAAAACAACGGCGATAGAAGCGCGTTTGTTGTCCTCCGCCTAGCCATTCTAAGTCTGTTGCCTCCCGTACTGCAGACCTGAAATGGGATCCGTTGGCTTTACGCTGTGGCCTGCCTCATGGTGACCTAACGTCGACAGGCTCCATTGCTCGACGACTTGCGCTCACTTCTCGCGCGGGGAGCTGTTGCTACCGCGGGCGCTTCTCGCGCGGGGAGCTGTTGCTACGCGGGCCAGGAGCCTGCGGTAACCAAAGTTAGACACCGGTTTCATGATCATCGCTCAGGAAAGGAAGCCTGGCCACGACATGGCTGCCCGTTAGTCGACGATCGCTGTCTGGTCAGCAGGTTAGGTGCACCGATACACGTCATTCTTGGATCGATGATTTGTAAGAGAGAGTATTTTAAGTATTCAAAACTTATTTTCGGTGGTAATTGGAGTAAGCGGTTTCACAGGCAGTTACTGCCAGCGATTGCCTACAATAATAAAAACACTGATTCGACACATGCAAAGATGCGTGATGTATCTTGATTTTGCATATTTTCCTGCTGTCGGCCATGATGCGCGTCAGTCAGACGCCAACTCTCAAGACTGCTGGGTTGGGGTCCACGCGCAGTCGTTGATTCAGACTCAGACAACGACAGCGAGGGTGCCACGAAGAGAACATTTTCGCATGCGATGACAGAGTCACGGCACTCACATCCCTGATTCACATACATCATGCATCACATGCCTTCACATCTCTGATTCGCATGCTCGTGAGCGCTCGCATGTTCTCCAGCACACCAATCCTTGCCAGCAGCATGTTGATCTCTTCGTTGACATGGAACGATAAATCGAATGTTCAGCCCCGTCCCTTGAAACACCCACGATGCCATTTCATTTAAAGCACGTACGGGCCACATCAGACCATTCAGCACGCGGCAAATACTTCCCCAAAGGTTCCGTTTTTTAGCGTGATTCCGCTGATTCCCCTCTCCTTATTCGCCTCGACTATGTCCGCCCGCCCGCCAAGCAGTCCAGAAAGGCCCGTCCGAGACATAACAAGTTGTCACCTCTCATGCCGCACCTAGCATTCTCTCTCCGTTCTTTATGCCTGCACGCATGTGTAAAAGCCAAGACCATGACGCAAGTGATCTGGCACCGCACTGCGTACTGCCGAAGCACCATACGGCTGCGTGGCATGGCTCATTGGGGATATACTCCACACTGCCGAAGCACCATACGGCTACGCTGGTATGGCTCATTGGGGATATACTCCGCACTGCCGAAGCACCATACGGCTGCGCTGGTATGGCTCATTGGGGATATACTCCGCACTGCCGGAGCACCATGCGGCCGCGTTGGCATGGCTCTTTGGGGATATCATACGCAAAGCCGTGAGCCGGCTGCGCAACAATTTAATGACAAGATGTCGTGCGTCGTGCACATAAAATTAACTTCCATCCTGGGCCTCTTTTACCGTACCTTTGGCGAGAGGAATGCCCCGTTCGAGGGATGAACTGACCACCGAGCATCGTGGCATGGTTTTGTGTTACCTGTTTCGCCACGGCATCGTATTTCTGGACATCAGCAAACGTGTTTGTTCTGGACATCAGTATGTTCTGGCTTATTCTGGACATCAGCAACACGTCATAGTGGTTCGTTACCATCGCTGTCAAGAGTCGCCTGTCCAACATAACACCAGTCCATACTGAACCTTCCGTAATGCTCTTTGCTGCGCTCTGATAACCATTTTGGCCTACCGTTTACTCCATTCTCCTGGCTTTTCCCCGAGGAATGAAGCTATTACTACAGTCTTATCCGTTATAGTAGCCGTTATGTTTATCCGTAGACGGTGCTCAGTGAGAGCATCGATGGAGAATCAATTGACAACTCGGTTGGGATAGCAACCGTGTTCGCACCGTCGACTTCTCGGCATCAGGCAAATATCAACACTACGCGTATTGGTGCCCACTCTTTCGTGTGGGATTTTCAAAAAATCGAC